GGGGGAGAGTGGGATCGGGGTCTGGTAAGGGCGTTGGTCCCGCCTGCTGGCGGGCCCGGGACTATGACCCTAGTACCCACCCGTCTCCACCAGCGACCGTGGGGTCCTGATCCCCGGTGTGGGCACAGAGGCTTCCGTGGGGTCCTCATGGGAAACTGAGGCAGTGCAACAGGATTAGGGCTCCGGCTGACACGACGGGTACTGGGCTGCATTGCGCTGGGTTCTTTGTTGATGCACTAACTTTGGGGTGACTTCCTGTCCTTCAGCCTTTGTTGCACACACACACAGGTCCCTCCTAGAGCCCCCTCCTGTCCACCCAGCTCCCAGACACTTATGGAATCAGGGGGCTGCAGATCTGAGCCCCACATAGGCACTTATCATGCGTGTTCCAGGTCTTCCATTGCTGGTGATCACAGTCGATCTTGAGTGCCGTCCTAGGCTGAGCGTGCCTGGTCTTAGAGACCTAAATTAAACTTTTCCTCTCCTTTACAGCGACATTTTGCCTCTGTCCCAGGAGGACTCCCCCTTCCCCACATTCTCCCGAATAGGTAACTTAGATCAGGCGTCGAAGGACAGCTTGTTGGACTTTCAGTTCTGCCTTCACTTCTGGCCATTTTCTTATAAAACTTTGGGCATCCTGGAGCGGTGGGAACAATAGTGGTGATCCTGGGCCACTTTTGAAGCCACCATCACCATCTAGCCTTTAGACCTGTGGCAACAATGTGTGGATCAAAAGATGCCTGTGGTAGTCATTCCCAACTGGGGCCAGCTGCTCAGGGAAGGTCGGCTGGTGGAACAGTGACAGAATATTTATATTTAGCCTCATGTGCAGAATGTGACTGTCATAAGTTTAAAATGCTTCTCTACAAAACCGTTTGTCCCTCCCTCTGGCGTACTTCCCCTCTATATTTAGGTGGCTTACTGTAGCTCTGAATGTCCCAGGCTTGTTGTGTGATTCACAGACTTGCTCCCTGTCTTTCCTGAGTCCGTCACTGACATCTCCTGTGAGGGCTCCTGGTTGTTCATGTTCCAGCCGGCTGGCAATGGCTATTTGTGGGAAAGCCTCTGACCTGGTTTTAGGTCAAGCCTGATAGCCATTACCCCAAGTGAGTTCACGGCTATGTGCATACTGAGTGAGATGAGTGTGCTCTTGGGGTCTGAAGCTTAAAAAAAAAGAGTAGATCTGCCCTTTACACGTGCATAGCTTTCACCCAGTAGATGCCTGTCCGGGCAGGTTGTTCGCTTGGTTTGAAATTAATATTTATTTCTAGCCAAGCCTTGAATTCATGTCAAGCTAGTGAAGCACTTAGCAATGAGGTTCAGCAGCCCCTCTTGCGTTTAGGGGGGTTTGTGATGTGCCTAACACCAGGAATGCTTTCCTTCCCTCCCTTCCACAAAAGGGACGAGACCTTTCACTTAATGCCAGCCAAGACACCTTCCTGGAGGCTGCCTCTGGCTCAGTCCTTGTTGGCTTTCATGGTGGCTACTGGTTCTCTACCTGTGCCCACTACGGGCAGCATGTTTCTGGCGGTGCCATGGGATACTAACGATGGGTGGTTGGGTGGTGAATAACAAGGTAAGCAGGAGAGATGCACCTTAACACAGTCTGTGTGTGTGTGTGTGTGTGTGTGTGTGTGTGTGTGTGTGTGTGGAGGAGGAGCTGCATAACGACTCGGATTAGAAGGAGATTGCAGAGAGGAGGGGGCTGGGGGATCAGTGGGCATTTGCTTTGGAATCAAAGGGGATAAGGAAATGGGGGGACCATGTACCTGCTGCCCAGCTCCCCAGGGAGGGCCTGGCCAAGCACCGACTGTCTAGGCTGGGCACACTGTGCAAAACTTTTCTTTACTGTGAGGGTATTTATGTGGTTGCAGACAGAACTTCTAATTTTTTTCTTCACCTAACTTTGTGACTGTATTGTCACCAGTGGAACCTTTTTATTTTTTCCCCCTGAATTTGTCACTGCATTATTAATGTCTCTTCAAAAATAGATTAAGCTGATCCTTTTTCACCTTGCACTGAGACAACTGAGAAGGCCGTGGGTGTTGGTCTTTGTTTTTGCCCTGTTGTCCCGTGTTGCTAAGTGTCAGGTGGCCTGTGTTTGTTGTCACACAGCAGGCTGCTCTGTGTGGAATCTGTATCTGTCTCCTCTGCAGCTGGTTTCTGTAAGACCCGGGGTGGCAGGTGGCAGGTTGGCAAAATGGTTCTTTTCAGTGGCAGTGGTAGGGGTATCTTCCTGGTTGCTGCCCTGTTGAGATGAGTTTGGTCTTTCAGTCAATTTCATTGTCACTGTTAGTTTGAACAGCAGATCTTTAAGGTAAAAATCTTAACAGTACAAGAAGCTTCAGAATACAGAGGAAAGCCTACTAAGACCATATCACACTGCCTATACCCTGTGCATCCTAGTGCAACGTCTCCCGGGGTGACCGTAGGTGACCATCCTAGTACATAGGCTTCTTTCCCTCAATATTTTATAATAAATACTTTTGTAAGTTGCTGTGTTGTCTTCTAAGCCATTTTCCCCAGCTGTATAATTAGCCCACTGAGGTTCTGTGCAGAAGATCACAATTCTGAACAGTCAGAGACCCCTCATCACCAGCGGAGAGAAGGGGTCTAGGCAGGAGCTGGGTTAGAAACTGGAGTCCTTGGTCCCAGAGGCTGGGTGAGGGCACCACCTTAGGCAGTGAGATTCCCCCCTCCTTATGAGACCCAGCTTCTGATTGAATGCTTCAGTGACTCTTGGGTTCATCTACTAAGTCCAGGGCTCTGTGAGTACCCACAGTGTTTCATAGGCGTACCCATGGAGTGTGCTACATGACCCCTGACTTGCAGAAAGGCCTGGACTTGCTCGGGGCAGCATGGCCTCATTGCTTTCTGATTGTCCAACCCAGCACCTAACCCATACGTCTCTATGTTTCTGCTGAAGAAAGGGGTGGTCTCATAGGAAAGCAAGAAGGCAGGCAGAGCTGGCACAGAACCAAGCACAAGAGAGGAGGAAGGCAGAGGGTTGGGTTGGGCTGGTGAGTGACCTGGGATCAGCTTTTCCTCTCAGGGGCTGGGGCTGCCAGGGAGGTTTGGGCAGAGCATTGGTTGGGTGAGGAGAGGCTGGAAGAGGAGCAGGGAAGCTGCTGCAGTGGTCCAGGCTGCCGAGGGCACGGTTGGCCAAGGTGGACGGTGGCGATGGGGGAGAGGATGGAATTTGCAGTTTTAGTATTCGGATCTTGTTTTAGAGATGTCCACATGCTTAAAGAAGAGATGAGAGTCATCCAGGGAACCCCTGCACCCCCTTCACCTGGCTCCACCAGTGATAAGTAATGACTGCTAGCGGTCTCTGTTATGTAAATAAAGGTGTTCATACGGAGAAAGCACATTACTTTAGCTATCTCTTACATTAATACTATTTGCTTATGTCATAGCCACTCAGCACTAATTAATTCAGCATGTTTTCCCTAGAAACAAGGACACCTTTGTAGGTAACCATAGTACAGTTATCAAATACAAGAATGTAATATTTTTTAAAAGATTGCATTTCTTCGCTTGTTCCAATAATGCCTTTGGTAGCCATTTTCCCCTGTGCAGGATCCAACCCAGGACCACTCATCATGTTTGGTTTCCTTAGTTTTATACAACATCCCTGCCTTGGTTTTTTCATTCTTACAGTTGGGTTCCAGTGGCTGAGTTTTGGCAGCAATGTCACATTAGGGTACTGTGTCAGTTTCAGGGACTGAAGATACCAGCGGGATGGTAGCACCAGTGGGACCTATTGCAGGGTGAGGTTGGTGTTGCCAGTAGCTGCCGTGGTCATGGGCGGGGGCGGGGCTGGGAAGGGACAGATGTCGGGGGAGCATGAGCGCAGCTTGCACTCTGTGTCTGGTGTGTACTGGGTGTTCTCAGGTGCCTGGAGGTGGATTTCATGCTCTTTCATAAGTAAATTGATTCCCGGGAGCTCAAAGCCATAGCAGCACATGGAGTCCTGGGCTGTGCCTGCTGACAGATGCAGCCTGACTGGGGCTCACCTCCGCCCCCCTTTGCTGGACTCTGCTTCCCTTCGTGGTGCAGCAGAGTGAGGAGAAACTTTCCCATGCCCTGCTTTCTCTCCAGAGCTCAAAGTATCCCTGTCATCAGTCCCTTCATAGCATTGGCCCCGAGTGTCCCACTTAGGGATGCAGCAAGCAGAAGTCAGCTTCCAGCAGCTGGAGGGGCTGGGTGCAGGCCCCTCTGTGATTGGTTTATATTTTGGTGATGTGTTTGCTCTAATAATAAAAGGACTCAAACCTCCTCTCTCTTTTTAAATCTTCCTCTCCTTTTTTTTCTTTTAAAGTTTAAACTCATATCCCAGGCTTATGAAGTGCTTTCAGATCCAAAGAAAAGGGAGATTTACGACCAGGGCGGGGAACAGGCCATTAAAGAAGGAGGTTCGGGCAGCCCTAGCTTCTCCTCACCCATGGACATCTTTGACATGTTCTTTGGTGGTGGAGGACGGATGGCAAGAGAGAGAAGAGGTAAATGTTTCTAAAGAGATGTACTCAAGTTTTGTTGTTCACAAAACTGCACACATTGCTGGAACCAGGATGGATCATGTTTTAAAAGGGTGCAATTGTCATGTTTGGGAATCATTAACTAGCTCATCCCTTGTTGAGTCCCCAGGACTGGACCTCGGGAGTCATCCAGCCCTGAAGAACAGGTGTCCACCATCCTGAGTGCAGATACAAGAGCTAGGCAGAGGAAAGAGTTCACACTTGGGCACAAATTATAGAAACAAGTAAAGAGCTCCACGCAAGGAGTTTCAGTGAGGAGTTGATAGTATACTTAGTAATTCTTACACCCTTCAAGCCCCAGATGAAGGAGCAAATGGGGTCATGAGTAGAAAGGAGGAAGGTCAAGTTCATTCCACCTTCTCATCCTCTCTTGTGGGGTTGAGGCACCAGGGTTTCCTGAGGGACAGAAATTGCACCTGCTTTTCCACCTGCTCTCGCCCCTGGCCTGGGTCCCCACCTGAATGAGGGCCTGTGGGCTGTCTCATTCTAGACAGGACAGGACCTGCTGTGTTCATTGCAGCCTCGAATGAGGCCCTGGCTGGCTCAGTTTTCTGGAAGATTCACCTCTTCATATGTTATAGTTTTGAAAAATGAACTACCTCTCAGTCTTTTCAGAAGGTGTTATGATCAGCAGTGAGTGAGGAATGTTTAGCCAAATGGTTCTCCTCCACCACGCTTCACATACCACCTCTGTAATCAGTGGTTCCTGGTGGCCAAGTCCCTTTACCCCTGCCCTGTGCTCTGCTGACAACCTGTTTTGGATCCTAAGACCAGATAGATAACCAAGCTTAGTACAATTCTTGATAAAATAGGAGAAAAAAGCTCTGCGTTGTTTTTAAGAAATTTGGTTCTGGTCAATGAGTCCCCTGGATAAATGTGTTAGTTCTCACATTGTAATTGACTCTGAGCTTTAAAAAACGTGGGTGCCAATCCTGTGAACATCCTGTGCTGAAAGTCACCAAGTATTTATTAAGGAACAGTCCCTTCCTCTCCTCTGGTATGTCATCTGCTCATGTAATTGATGACGTGGATGTGATTAAAACCCTGGGGATTCTCTTGCCCAGCCACTCACTGTATTAAGATGAAAAATTTCATGCCTTTCATTAAATCATTTCTTGAAGTTGATAGTTAGGCAGCCAGGACACCTTGTCCCAGAGATGGCAAGGACTCTGGGCAGCAAGGAGGTCCAGCCTCAGGAGTTGTCCAGCCCTGAGGAATAGGTACCCACCATCCTGGGTGCAGATACAAGAGCCGGGCAGAGGAAAGAGTCTGTACTTGGGCACAAATTACAGAAACAAGTAAAGAGCGTGGTGTCCAAGGAGGAGTTTCCGTGACTGGCCCAGTGATTCTGGCTGTCACACATTTGTGAGGAAGGGCTGCTTTCCTCAGGAGGACTTGGTTAACCAGCATCATTGTTAACACTGAGCCTTCTGTCTCTCAGTTAAGAATCTCCTTGTCCTCAGATTTTTTTCTCAGAAAATAAAGGTGAAAAGTCTTTGCTGAGGCCCATAAATGATTGAGAATTAGTTCATATTAGACGAGGTGTTAATTCTTGGTGCTGGAAGAGGACAGAAGGTAGAATAGTGTAATGGGAGTGTCACTTCCTGCAGGAGGGGAGGAGAAACCTGGGATACTTACAGTGCAGGGTCATGTGGGTGGAATTCAACACTGCAGTCTGTTTCTTGCACTATTACTAACTGGTTTTTCTCCCTTGTAAGCCAAGAATGTCGTGCATCAGTTGTCTGTAACTTTGGAAGACTTGCACAATGGTGTCACCAAGAAACTGGCCCTCCAGAAAAATGTAATTTGTGAGAAATGTGAAGGTAAAAAATTAATTTTTAATGAATCTCACAGTTCTGATCTCTTAGATCTAGAGGCAAGTCTGCTTGTTTCAATTAGCAATAATCGAGACTGGGATAAATCTCATTGCCTACAATACTGCCACTTGGCAAAACTGTGCTTATTTCAGAGCTCAGACAAAAATAATATTTTATTCAACTCAAGGGTCGAGCAGTGTCTGCTAGTAGGCAGTGTGAGGCCACAGCTGTTTGCCCGAATGGGTTTTTTATTTGGGCTGCACATTTATTTAATATGTTGACTTTTTTTTTTCTGGTATCGGGGATCAAACTCAGGACCTTGCGCTTGTGAGGCAGGCGTGGTACCACTGAGTTAAATCCCCAGACCTGTTGACAGTTATTTTTAAAATGTCCAAATCAAGACTACTCACCTAACCTTGGAGTCGGCAAGGTTTTCCATTACAGGTAAAATAGTATGTTTGAAATCCCTCAACTCTGCAGCCCCTGTGCATGAATGACTGGATGCCCCTGGGTCCAGCAAAGGTTTATTTACCAGACCTACAGTCTGGCCATCGTTTGATGACCTTCCATTTTGATGTAAAGGTGACTGACATTGTCCCAGGCCCATTGTTCCACAGAGGATGGCCAAGCTGGTGGCTGCTCTCGTGAACAGAGCTCCTGTCCTTCAAGTATCTGCAGCCCAGCCTCCTCGCTTAATTGTGACCCTGGGTGTTTTTCCACCCTGGGGTGGAAAAAAACACAATTGATGAGGCTAAAATAATAAATTTGGATCAATACAGTCCAAAACATAATCGCATGAGGTCACATGTTAACATCTGGTATTGTCTGCGTGACTAGGGCCCCTTTAGACTCTCCCACACTTTCTTCATGATTATAAAGACTTTCAGCCCCATGTCCACTGGAACAGATTTCCTGCCTTTCTGCTGCAGTGCCCAGGGGACCTGGAAAGGGAACAGCAGAGCCCACACTCCTGTCCCCCCCTCCCCTGCCCTGCAGGAGTTGGTGGGAAGAAGGACTCTGTGGAGAAATGCCCACTGTGCAAGGGGCGAGGGATGCAGGTCCACATCCAGCAGATCGGGCCGGGCATGGTGCAGCAGATCCAGACTGTGTGTGTGGAATGCAAGGGCCAGGGAGAGCGCATCAACCCCAAGGACCGGTGTGAAACCTGCAGTGGTGCCAAGGTGATCCGGGAGAAGAAGATTATCGAGGTACCTGTGGAGAAAGGTAAGGCTGCACAGAACTGGTGCTCCCTGCTCAGGTTTGGTGTCAGGGACTTGAGCTGCCACACAGCCTGGAACTAAAGGATGCTAGGGTGTGTCAGGACTCTTCCTGTTTCCAGCTCTTCTCTTGGCCCTCCTGGCCATTTCTCCAACCCATGGCACGCACCGAGGTTTTCCTGCTGCATCTGCTTCCATGCAATCACAGCTCACCTCTTTTAAGGTTTTCTGATGCCCTCAAGTCTTACCTGACCTCAGCTTTGGTTCACTGCCCTCCCTGGCCATGTTCAAACCCCTTCTTTGGGATCTTTATTTTCCGTTGGCCATAGGAGCTTGTGCCTTAGTAGCTCATGCTCCTTTCCTCCATGTTCTTCCCTGTGGCATCAGATTCTTCCATATAGATCATCTTCCCTTGATACTCATCTTGCCTGGTGCCATCATTCTAAGGTAGATTTCAGTCCCAGCTGTTTTCCAAATATACCCTGAGTGTTCTGTGGTCTTCCACACCAGCAAACATATTGTAGATCAGAGAGGAGACCAAAAGTCCACGAATCAACACCCATACCAACTTGAGTATGGTGAAAGGATCCTCACTTAAACAAGCCTTACCCTGTGCCTATGTTCGTACTACATGTTAGAGACTCGCTGGCCGTCCTGTCCTTCTCAGTCTCCAGAACCATATGCCATGTGGGAGATGGGTGGTCACCTCATGCTCACAGTGTGGCCTCCCTGTGGGCTTGCAGGCCTGGGGCTGGGGAGTGTGGTGTGGACCAGATGTGGACCCTCACATTCCTTCCCCAGCTGCATGCATAGCTCAGGGCCTGACTCCAGAGAAGGCATTGTCCCAGTGGCCCGGCTCCACCCCGTGCCCATTTGAGGTTGAGGGGTTGATGAGTGGAGAGGCCCCAAAGGACTCTGCATCCCTTCTTCAAAAGCTCTGAGAAAGTACGGTTTTTATGAGAAATGGCTAATCAGCAAGGGCTGATGTTCCATAGGTATGAAAGATGGGCAAAAGATACTATTTCATGGCGAAGGAGACCAGGAGCCTGAGCTGGAGCCTGGCGATGTCATAATTGTCCTTGATCAGAAGGATCATAGTGTCTTTCAGAGACGAGGCCACGACTTGATCATGAAAATGAAAATTCAGCTTTCTGAAGCTCTTTGTGGCTTCAAGAAGACAATAAAAACACTGGATGATCGAGTCCTTTTTATCACATCCAGACCAGGTAACATCCCCAGTGTGCCTGCTGTGCTTGCCCTGGGTGTGTGGCATGGTGACCTCTGTTACTGGGACTTGATTTTCTCTAAATTTAAAGTCATCAGTAATAATTGAATGATTTCATTTCCTTTCTATTTTCTTAGAAAAACCCCCACAGAGCTAGGGGTAGAAGCCTCCAATAGGAATCTTGAGGTCTAAAATTCTAGCTGCAATCTGCCAGTTAAACTTCAATTTTATTTTTGATTTATTTTTTTCTGTTTTTTTGAGATGGGGTCTCACTATATAGTCTAAGCTGGCCTCGAACTCACAGTGATCCTTCTGCCTCAGCCCCCTGAGTGCTGAGGTGATTAGGCATGCACTACTACACCCAGCACTTCAATTTTAAAGTTTTGTAGAAATGAACACAGCTGCTAAGCAGTGGTGTTTTTCTGTCATGTGGGGTGTGTGTCGATTTGTCTACATTTTCCTCTGGCTTCTGTTGTCAACTGCACAGGAGAGAGGATTTAGAATCGAGTTTTCTGAGACAAAGACATTGCCTGCTTGCTTGTCTTCGGAGATGCCCCCACCAGTGGGCGCCAGGGAACAGCTGAGGGAGGTGTCCTGGGGCCTGGGCTTGGCTGCACAGGGGCCCTGGGTCTGTATGGGCCCCAGAATACCTGCCACCATGGGCTGGAAGCAGGGAGAGGACAGGTCTGGGCCTTGCTTAAGCCGCTCCCGAGCAGCACATGGCTGGATGCCTGATGCCCGGGCCTGGCTGTGGCCACCAGCAGTGCTGCTCCTGTGCCTTCCTGGCTGCGGCTCAGAAGAGGGTTCACCTTGGGTGAGCAGGGGAGGGGAGGGTGGCTGGGAGGCAACCGGCTGATAACCTTGTGCCATGCATGGTGGTCATGATGGTTGTGATAAGACCTGGAGTCCAGGGACCTGTACCACCCCAGCCACCCTCACAGAGCTCCCCTGCTCTGGGCCTGTTTCTCCACTCTCTGCCTGCTTGCCCACTGTGGCCTGTTCTCTTTCTGTTTCCTCTCAGATTCTTTCTGGTTCCTCCTTCTCTGGGATCATATGAAATGGAATTATATTTCTAAGCCTTGGCCTAAGTTTGTGGGGTTTTTAAAAATCTTTTTACTTGAAAACAATTTCAAACTTAGAAAAAGTTGTGAAAATAAAAACAATAGGAGGCCCCATAGCTGGTTTTGTCTGTTAACATTTTACACCATGCGGTTTTCCATTTGCTGTGTGCGTGCGTGTGTGTGTGAGCACGTGCGTGCGTATGTGCACCCACAATGGATTCAAGGATTGTGGCAAGCACTGCAGAGTGGTGGGAAATTTTTTTTTTTTGGTACGGGGAATCGAACTTGGGCCCTTGCGCTTGCACAGCAGGCAGCAGGCGGTGAAACCACTGAGCTAAATCCCTGGCCCTGTGGTGGGAAATTCTTGACACACACTGAGTGCGCATTCTCTCTGCAGAGGAAGGTGAGACCCAGGCCCCAGGTTCTGTCCCAGATCCGCTGACATCCTAACATCCTCTCTGCAGATCAGAGCCCTGCTAGGACCAGGAGCACATCTGCCTGTGACTGGGTTGGAAAAATCCCCTCCTGGGCCAGGTGGACCCAGTGAGGCCAGGCAGCCCGGCAGAACTCACTAGAACAGTGTCTGCTGTGGGACACCAAGGCCTGTGCTCCTGCCGCCTCCTAGCCTGCCCCATTGTCCTCAGAGAGGACATTGACCCCTGCAGCCCCTGGCTTCCTGTGTCACACATGACCTTTTCTGTGGCAGGTGAGGTGATAAAGCACGGGGAACTTCGATGTGTGCGCAACGAGGGGATGCCTATCTACAAGTCCCCCCTGGAGAAGGGGATGCTGGTCATACAGTTCCTAGTAAGTGTGCTGCATTTGATCCTGGGGATGCCGCACTGCTGCCTGGCTGGAGAGCCACATCATTCTGTTTCCCCTCACAGGTGACCTTCCCTGAGCAGCACTGGCTGTCCCTGGAGAAGTTGCCACAGCTGGAAGCCCTGTTACCCCCGAGGCAGAAGGTGCGGGTCACAGAGGACATGGAGCAGGCGGAGCTGCAGGAGTTCAGTGCTGGCGAGCAGAGCTGGCGCCCGCAGCGGGAAGCCTATGAGGAGGATGAGGATGGGCCGCGAGCCGGCGTGCAGTGCCAGGCAGCGTGATGCAGGGGCGGTGTAACGTTGGCACAATGAAACGGCGTCCTGTAATGGCTGTCTGGGGTGTCTTGTGTGTGTTCAGCATTCTCCACAGCGGAGTGTCTTTGGGTTTCTTTTGCTTTTGTTTTGGTTCTGATTTAAGTTAAGCTTGGTTCGCATTTAAATGTTTTACGTGTTAATCACCTCAGTCTGCCCATGGAATCTGTTTGTCCTCATCTTCAGGACAGTCCCGGGGATGCTGGTGACCACGCTGACACTTTGCACTTCAGGTGGCTTTGCTGTTATTCAGTTCCTGGTAGCACTCAGCCCAGAGCTGCACCCACCCCCTTGCAGGCCGGGAGGCACAGTGGGTATCTCAGCTGTGTGTGCAGGTGGCTTCTCACCCTGTGCTCTGGCAGTCACCGAAGGCCTGTATGCAGAGCTGCTGACAGGACATTTCTGAGTCCAGGTTCAGATGAGCATCTTCACAAACATAGGCATACACACAGGGCTTTGAGGGCCTGGTCCACGCCCAGCAGGCTGCGTACCCTGGATGCAGGGTCAGCCTAGTCCCTTCGTTCAGTGTCCCCAGAAGGTTGGTGTGGGGCACAAGAGTCTGCTCATCTCTCCTGGAGATTCTCTGAACTTCCCAACCCCATGGGGGGACAGACCACTGTCTTAAGTGATGTCAGACCCACCATTTGCCTGTGACCCAGCCCCTGTTCTCTGGTTTTCATGATCCTCTGTTGGAACCCCTGCAACCCTGTCCCACCCAAGTGCTTACTTGAAAACAAAACCCTCTCATATCCCTGGCAGCCTCAGACAGCAGCAGAAGCCAAGGGTGGACGCTGGTCTGGCCCACAGATGGTGGGTTCTCCTGCCTGGTGACCCTGGGTGACTTGAAGGATTGGGAAGGCACAGATCATCCCAGTGTCCCTTCCATGTTCTCTAAGCTGGGCTCCTTCTTGAAGGGTCGTTCCGTACTGCACAGCCATATCCCAAAGGGTGTCCTGCTCAGGTGACACTGGTGGGACAGGCACACAAGCAGGCTCTCCTCTGTCGATTCCTGCTGTCGATGCCCAGTTCAGGGCACGTTAGCCATTGCTTCTTTCCTGGCAAGCAGACTACACCTCAAATCAGCATTACCTCAACATCAGGATATCACCACTCCTTTCTTTTCAGTCATGAAGAGAAACCACTACCTTTGAGTGTCAGGTGCACCTTTGTCTGGTAATACGATGCTCAAGTCAAACCCAGACAAAGACACCCAGGAGGGCCACAGGAGAGGCCACGGGGTGACCAGGCTTTAGGAGCACTGCTGGCTGGTGGGACACAGCTGGTCCAGTACAGAGAACCCACCTGTGCCTGCCTCAACTGCTGGCCAGGAAACTTAGAACCAATTCTTCCAACCAAGCCTACATGAAAATCAACTTATAGGGCTGGGAATTTAGCTCAGTGGTTTCACCAAGGACCCAAGTTCGATCCCCGGTACCAAAAAAAAAAAATCAACTTATAAATGGACCACCACTCCAGGGTGCTGCTCCTGTGCTGTGGCTTCCTGATAAATGATTGCTAGAGAACTATTGTTTATTGCTGAGGGAGCAAAATTACACTTGGCTCTTTCCTGTCACATACATGGCTTCTGGAGGGTGTTGCTTCAAATTTTATTCCACCTCTACATCTGTCACTTTAAAATTAAAATGAAGCTGCTATGAGAGACAAGTGGCTTTGCTTTTTCTTCTCTGGAGCACTCAAGTGTAGTGTTAAGATGCACTGGTAAAAGGAATGGCATTTCCTTGTACATGAGGGTAGGAGGAAGAGGTCTCTCCAAGGGCTGGAGAGTGAGGGAAGAGCAGCCAGGGCAGCGTGGTTCCAGGAGGCAGAGCGCGCCCAAGGCTGGAGAGCAAGCAGAGGACTTGTTCTGAGGGTGGGGGATGGAGGGAAAACATGAATGTCAGCCACTCTGCAAGCACAGGAAGGAGCACAGGAGCTGTGCTCTGGGACACAGCCCTGCTCTGCAGTCTGGAGCCCTGGCACTACGAAGGCAGCAAGAGCAGCGCATTTCCACACCCACCAGTGGTTACAGAAGTCTGATGTGACAAGGGGAAGGGGAAAGTGTGGGAGATAATTTTAATGTATTGAACAGAAGGATCCCCAGGTGGATAGGACCGGAGGCTGAATCCGCCCAGTCAGACACCCTGTTTCCTTCAGGACTCCGTTCTTCAGGATGACACGGATGCTCACTGTGTACCCAGCTACAGGAGTCGGTCCCGGGAGAGGGGCCGCAAAGGTCAGTAAGCACCCAGCTGCTCCTCTCTCCCATTAAATAATGCCAGCTCCTCTCACAGTTCTCCAGCAGCAGGTAAACCAAGAAAGAAGTGTGTCCACCAACAGGGGCGTTGCATCAAGAGTGCTTTATTAAAGTATGAATAGCACTTCCATTAAATCAGAAAAATTTTTATACTATATCTACAAAATGAGTCTCTGCTATAATGTGTGCTCAGTTTCTTACTTTAAATGCACATAAAGGTAAGGAATGTCCCGGCAATCTGTACATCTCCACAGTGTTAGCCTTACAGATGCTGATGTCTAAATTGGACAGTCATAGATGTGAATTTCCTGGTCATCTCCAACAGACACAATTTTCGAGCCATTTCCATTGTATTTTACTCCCCAGACCTGTAAATTTAAAAAGTTCTATTCATGTTTTACTCTTTCTGAAGACTGTTTACAAAATGAACATCTTCATTTACTTCTCGTATTCTGAATTCAGAAAAATACTTGAGTTCAGAGTGTTCCTACACTTCCTGAATCAGAGAGGACGGTCGCTTCTCTTTAACCAGGCACATTCCTTTTGCTGCTATTTAGTTGTTTATCCTCCCCCCTACCAGAACATCTTAATTTTTACACTACCCAGGATAAACTACAACTCTTACAAAGATTCAGGATCCAGAGGATGACCGTGGAATCTACAAAGGAACAGCATATATGGTGCCAGGAGGAGACCCACATGCCCAAGGTCACTGCCTACAAGAAAAACTGGCTGCTGCTCCTCCCACCCCATGCACACTGCCCTGGTCAGGACCTTCCATTGTTATTAGAAGCCTGGGACCCAGGCACCATGGACATCACTGATTTTGTGTGCTATGCACTGGATGAACACTTCCTGTTTCCTTCCCAGGCAGAGGTGATGTGCCAGGTTCCGACCAACAGGACTGCCTTTCTGATCTGAGGCAGTTCTAGGGTGTCAGGTTATCACTCTGGCTGTGAGATGGGCCTTAGCATGGTGACTGGGCCACATGATAGGCTCACTCCCTCTTCAAACCAACCTCTTCCTCTGCAAGAGCAGCACACGGACCCCCACACAAGGCCACAAAGCACCAGGACTTACTCCCTCAAGTCAGCACTGGACTGTCAATATCAAGAAAACCCCCCAGGACTTTATGGGTTACAATGTAAGAGTGAATCAGCATGAGCAATTAGCTAACTTCATTCCAAAAGAAATCTATAAGCATCTGGAAACATTCAGAGTATGTTAAAAGCCAACTTTATGCTGCAGTGGAGTTTTATTTGTATGCTGACTAGTTCCTAGACCCTGATCCTCACAGTGGTGGGTCAGCAGCCAGCTGTCCCCTTGGGGCATGTGACAGGTGCAATATCAGGTCTATAGCAGACCTGCTGGGTCAGAACTGCAGTTTAGTTAGGGGGCCCCAGGGGACCCACGTCCCACATGCACATTAAGACCAAGCACCACACAAGAACACCAGCAACACTTCACACCTTGGCAAAAGAGGCTCCTTTCAAAGGTGCAAATGAAATCCAAACAACTTGTAACAATTTCCTTCTACTATATTAAAGAACAATCTCATCTCTTCTTTGGACAGTTCTAAAAACAGCAAATGATGACTATGAGCAAAGGCAGCTGCTGACCAGGAGGGCCTTTCCTGAGCTGGTCCTGGCCTGGAGGGGCCCAGAAAACCCCTGCAAAGAGGCTGTGCTTGTCTCACACTATCACACAGGCAGGGGTACATCTGTGGTACTAGGTGACAGCAGGTCCCTGCCTCAGCTAGATGGACATTAGCAGCACCAGTCCCAATCCAGGGGTCTACCGCTTTCCCTTTGAGGGGAGGAAAATAAAGCTGTTCCAGGACACGATGCTGCAATCTAAAGACAAAGACACTTAAATTTATTCCATACCTGATCCTGGTGATCAAAGAAGGTATGAACACAAGTCCTTGTTCCAACGTCCCACACTTTTACACTTTTGTCAGATGAACTACATCAAAAAATGAACATCAGTATCAGAAAGTGGTTCCAGACAGGTTTGAAACTGAGTATGACCCCCAAACCTCACACTCCTCCATCATCAGAGGCCCCTCAGCCGGTGCAGGGCAGGGTCAGAAGCTTGGTGGTCCTCTCAGGCCAGCTGCCCTCCTGAGACTCCACCTCTAGGTGCTGTTGTCAGGAGGCCCTGGCCTATTTACCACTCTGGATGCCAAGGAAGCTGATGAAGCTTCACACAAAGGCTCTGGGGAGCCTCCAGACCACTGGGCAGAACCCTCTTACTGTCCACCCATGGGTCCAGCCATATTGGCCACCACAGGCCTGAACACACTTGGGTGGATAAACACAACAGTTTTTTTTTGAACTGAGGATTGAACTCATTGAGCTCCATTCTAAGCACTTTTTATTACTTTTATTTTGTTGCCCAGGCTGAGCTGGAACTTGTGATCCCTCTGCCTCTGCCTTCCAGAGTACTGGGATTATAGGTGTGCGTGACCACACCCAGCTCAGAATCACATATTGTTTGCTTTTTGGTACCAGGGACCGAACTCCGGATCTTGCACTTGACAGGCAGGTGGTAGAACCAGTGAGCTAAATCCTCGGCCCAGAATCACATATTTTAAACTACTGTTGAAAAACAGGCGTACCTCAGAATAGCTGTGGGTAGAAGCCTAGATTTACAAGAAAAACCTGAGTTTAACTGTTCAAAAGATTTCATCTTTGTTCCAGCTAAGGCTATCTTCATTATTTACATAAATAAAAACTAAGAACTGCAGAAAATGAAGGCAACATGAAATTTAAAGGGGTCAGTCTTCAAATTTTAAGACAACTCATTCTGGAAGACATCTTCATCTTCTGAGGATTTTAGAAACCACACGGAATCCCACGTACCTGGAGACGAAGTGCGTGTCATCAGGACAGAAGGCGACATTCAGCACCCAGGAGGCGTGGCCGCTCAGCGTGCCGGCCAGGTTGGCATGCTGTCTGCAAGGGGTCAGGGCACACGCAATGAGGATGTTAACTTGTGCATCCCTCCCACAGCCCAGAGGATTAAAAGGCAAGGGCACCAGGTGGGGGATGACTGAGGGGACCAGGGTGACTGACAGAACCCGAACACAGGTCCCTACTGAGAGGGACAGGAGGGTGCAGCACGCCCCTTGTTACTAAGACTCTTAGGAACAAAGGGACAGAGCAACCATTGGTGTTAAGTGCAATGCCTTCTACTCACACATCGTAGATCTTGATGTAGCCATCGTCTGACGCAGTGACGAGGAGCTGAGAGTCCGGGGAAAAGGTCAAGGAGCGGATGGGCATGGCATGGCCTGGAATTCACAAAGGCCCTGTTAATCCTCTCAAACCACTGCTGCTTCATGTGGCTTCCCACCGCTATGTCCCTTTGAATGATCATGCATCACTGAGCTGGAACTGCCCTGCTGCTTCTGTCACAAAAGAAAAATATTAGCTGGGTGGTGTGGCACACACCTGTAGTCCAGCACTCTGAGAGGCCAAGGCAGGAGGACTGAAAGCTCTAGCCCAGCCTGGGCAACTCAGTAACTTAGTGAAATGAAAAAATAAAAAGAGGATGGGGATCTGTCTCAGTGTGAAGGTCCTGGGCTCAATCCTTTGTACTGAAGAGGAAAGAAAAGGAAGGTACTGAGTGGGCTCTTCTTCCTCATGTTCTAGAAACATCCACCTAACCCCAGGCTGTCCTCCTGTAGCCATTTCTCCTTGGCCCCTCTCCCTGAGGAGTTGGGCCTCAACCTTACATTGTTTTTAAAAACTTCTCTGCTACAGATATGGCCAAACATAGAAATAAGCATTGTAAAGTTGGACAAATAGCATGTTATTTCCTTTGTTGCAGGGAAAGAATAAACTGAGGCGGTAATATGTTCACTTGGCTAGAATTCAAAATAACACAAAACAATGTGTAATAAAGTCACCCTCCCGGGCTGGGGATTTGGCTCAGTGGTTCCACTGCCTGCCTCGCAAGCGCAAGATCCCGAGTTCGATTCCCGGTACAGAAAAAAAAGTCACCCTCCCACACACCCTGCTCTTTGGCTACCCAGTCCTGCTCCCCAGGGCCACCAATGTGATTGTTATCAAGTTATTAACAAAGAAGAGCTGTCTCCCAGTCAAAGCTTTTCAAAACCAAATATAACAAACCAGACATAAACATGGCTAAGGTACATTAACACATAAATAAAAAGCAAGTTAACTCACCAAAACAAGCAACTAACCCTGTCACAAGAACTAATATGTAGTTAAAACTAGTGACAAGCCTAAAACTGGTGACAAGCCTAAAACTTGGCTTTTTCAGTTTTACAACTGAGATTAAAAGATTTTGTTAATCTAATGTTTACCTGTCATTTAACAGCATATTAAGAAAGTATAACTTCCTCTGTAATCTGATAACCCAGCTGGCACAAAATCAGGAGGAG